CAATCAAGTTAACTTCATTGATTTCACAAATTTAAGTGGACTGAATATAAAACAATTAAGTTGTCCCAAAAAACTGTAAATTGTGTTGATTCAGCTGATTGAACAAACAGCAAACATACATGCATCACAGCTTTTTATTGCACTAACACATGCTGAAATGATTATTTCTGCAATGTGTCTCAAAGGGGATTGACATATGTTTTGATAAAATAAAATAATGAAAAAATCTGTGTATTTTGCTAATACAGAAAGGATTGTGTTCTGTGAGAGGGCTGAGTAAAACACTTACCTCGTAGGAAACCAGGCATTTATAATGGCTCTTTTTCATATTGCACAAATATGTGCATTATTTCTAATTGTACTTGTTGTGAATAGTTTATTTCATGTGCTTAAAATATACGTCATAAAACACGGCTCATGCACTACACATGGGCCTAAATGTATCCTTTCACCATATTTACAGATAATAGATTTCAGTTGTACTTCACATTTTAGTATGATGCATCAAACAAGAGACTGAAAATGCTGTTTTACCAGCTTTGAAATGGCTTGTGGACATTTTTCTATAATAATCCTATTAGGAACCAAGAGGAAAAAAAAAAAATCTTTCTGTCAAAGAGAGCATTGACGCAAGCAGCTCTGACGTCAATAGAGCTGCAGTGAATGGAGGGGAGGGGGGGCTGTTTGCCCATGCCCACAGAAAACACTAAAGGCGAACGTCACTCGGGTGATTTGCGACAGTCCTCTCGCAGCAAAAGACAATGCAGCCGGTTAAATAGAAAATACAGTTACAAAATGTCTTGGATTGCGAAGAAACCAATGTTATACTATATAGCAGTTGGCTTTTGTTTTAATCTGTTAGACTGTTGCAGAAGATCAGAAATTATTTGACCGTGCAAACTCAATTTTTTATGAAAGGTCTTATCGTGAATTAATACTATGCTTTGGGCAACAGGTATTTACATTGATTTGTCTGAGGAAAATAATATTAACAACCTATTTCAAGAGTTCACACTTAGCTGATGATTGATTATAAAGCATGCTGTCCCGGGAGACAGCCCTGAGCTCATAAGATCCTCGAGCACGGGGCTCCCTCACATTTGCAAAGCGAAAGGGGAGTTTGAGCTCAGGTAGATCTGGAGAACTTCCCTGCTGTAGTAGCTAATGAACAGATAGTGATTGCTCTTAAGAGATGACTATTAACTAGGAGCATGTCTATGGTTGCAGATTTGGATTAGTTAATTAACTTAAGTTGCATGTTTTTTGACGGTGGGAGGAAACCGGACAACGCGGCTGAAACCCACGTGAGCACGGGGAGAACGTGTAAACTCCTCACAGAAATGTCGGCTGGCTTTGTAAGGACTAGAATCAGTGACGTTCTTGCTGTGAGGCAACAGTGCTAACCACTGGGCCACCCATCTAGGAAAGAAGGAGGAGTAGAGGTGGAAAGAGGGACTTTTCAAAATAAAGATGGCTGTGATATGAAACTTAGGGAATTTATAGTGGCTTAGGAATCGTCTGATTGGTGAATCATAAATTGGATAATGCGGGGCCGGCTGCAGGCAATCATAAGAACAGGATCCTCTCGAAATTAGTTTAGAAATAAACTTCACTTAGAGTAAGACCAAATTTAAATAAAAAATGGCAACAATAGAGTCCAATCGGTTATTGGATGTCACTGAAATCCTTAAACCAGGGCTGCCAGATCACGCAAAACAAAAAGGCAGAGAGAATAGGATCTAGGAATGACAAAAATCAGACAAACAATGAGACAGATATGCAGTTAAATGTAAAAATTATTATTGTAACCTGATAATAAGGTACACTATGTCATGCCTTGGCTCAGTGGTTAGCACTGTTGCCTCACGGCAGCAAGAAGGTTGCTAACAGGCCCGGACTGGCTAATTGGGAGGACCGGGAGAATTCCCTGTGGGCCGGTCCGTTTTTTGGCCGCGAGGGCCGGTGTCCCTACAGTAGCTCCAGAATTTGTTGCTCTCAGCAGTCACACTTTTTAAAAATAATTTATTTATTTACTTGACCACAGCCTGCTTGTTCATTATTTTATCACAGCTCTTTTTATCTATTTTCTCTTAGCTTCGTGAGCAAGATGCAGCCTGCAGGTGAATGATGATATAACTGAATAAATCACCATTTAATGTACAGCTATTGTGGTACAGTGGTTAGCATGTTAGGTTATAATGCTGCCAATCCGGGTTCAGTCCTTGTCTGAGTAACATTTTTTTTTCATTTTTATTTTTAAGACATATAATACTGTAAGGGTTGTTGAACATTTGAAGTTCTAAAACAGCTGTTTTCTCAAAAAAAGACGTGATAGTGTCATTAGAAACTGAATTGGAAATTACCTTATTTTAATATAGTCAGTGGTGAACTGAGGTGGGCCGGTCTTAGGCTTGAAACTCCAGGGCTGAAAAAGAGTCCCACTCCGGCCCTGGTTGCTAAGCCTCGGCTGAGTCAGTTGGCATTTCTGTGTGGAGTTTGCATGTTCTCTCCATGTTGGCGTGGGTTTCCTCCAGTTGCTCCAGTTTCCCCCACACTCCAAAAACATACGTAATAGGTCTATTGAATAAGCTAAATTGGCCGTAGTGTATGTGTGTGAATGAGTGTGTAGTCAGTTCCTGGAGGGCCAGGGCTCTGCAGAGTTTAGTTACAACCCTAATTAAACACAGCTGTTCAAATGAATTGTGTCCTTCAGGCTTGTTTGAAAACTACAAGTAAGCAGGGTTGGCACTAAACTGTGCTGGACTGCAGCACTCCAGGAATTGACTTAGACACCTGTGCCTTAAAGGGATAGTTCACCCAAAAACTACCCATTTACTCACCCTTCACTTTTTAAAAACATTTATTAAGCTTTATCTACAAGCATTTATAAGTTACGAGTTTTAGAAGTTTCTTTCTTCTTTTAAACCCAAAAGAAAATATTTTACAGAAAGCTGGAAACCTGTAAACATTAACTAAATCCCTGCTCACACTGTGAGATTTCAGCAAGGATTTTGTCACCTGAAACTAAATTGGGAAATCCTAAAAGATAAAATCCTCCGCTAAAATCTGTAGTCTTTGATCATGGGTTTGACATGTTCACTGACAGCCCATTGCGATCAGATTTTTCCTCTGATGAAGTTCTGGCAGTGTCAGAAGATTTCCTGCAGTGTGACAACAGCTGTGATGAGCGTCGATTCAAAAACCAATAGGAGCTCAGAATTTGATGATGGGAGCTATGTGACAATTCAAATGAGCGCGGGTGTAACCCTACCTGTCCCATGCCACCCAATCCGCTCCTAGCTGGTATCGAACCGGCGACCTTCCGCATGGGAGTCTGCTGCCCTACCAAAGAGGTTAAAGACCATAGCCTCTAGCGTATGTCACTAGAGCACCTTTAGAGGTCAGAAGAGTGAGGTTTACCTGCACAGCACTTACTAGCTGGCCTCCGTTACACTCACCCTCCTAAATCTCACTCCCATCAGGGTCACGGCACCAATGTACCCCGCCGGTCCTATGCCACGCAACCCGCTCCAAGCTGGTATCGAACCGACGGCCTCCCGCATTGGGTGAACTGTCCCATTAAATTTTGACACAACATTGTGATATTTGAAAGCACCAACACAAACTCTCTCAAAACTTAAAACTTAAAATGGACACGACATGTATGCTAAATTAATGAAAGTGTAAGGTTTATATTTTAGATTTAAAAGGTGCTTGCGAGTGCAACAACCAAAGTGGCATCACATCACGTAAGTGGAGTCAGAGGACTTTTAGTATTTTGGGTGTGTTATCACATCGATCGGTAGCTTGTGTGTTTTGGGACAAATACTGTTCAATGCACCTTTAACCATTCTTGTAAATCATTATTTTATGTGCTGTGTGCATTTTCAAAGCTTTCAAGGTTGTAGTAAACCAGTTTTCTTTATTTATACATTTTCTTGTCGGCTTAGTCCCTTTATTAATCCGGGGACGCCACAGCAGAATGAATCACCAACTAATCCAGCATATTTTTACACCATGGATGCCCTTCCAGCCACAACCCATCTCTGGGAAACATGCACACACACACACTCATACACTACCGACAATTTAGCTTACCCAATTCACCTGTACCACATGTCTTTGGACTGTGGGGGAAACTGGAGCACCCGGAGGAAACCCACGCAAATGCAGGGAGAACATGCAAACTCCACACAGAAAAGCCAACTGAGCTGATATTTAAACCAGCGACAACCTTCTTGCTGTAAGGCAACAGCACTACCTACTGTGCCACTGTATCGCCCTACTAGTTTTCTTATTAGTTATTAAATAAACCATTATTTGGGCGACGCGGTGGTGCAGTGGGTAGAACTTTCACCTCACAGCAAGAAGGTTGCTAGTTCGAGCCTCGTCTGGGTCATTTGGCATTTCTGTGTGGAGTTTGTATGTTCTCCCCGCGTTCGCTGGGTTCCCTCCGGGTGCTCCGGTTTCCCATCATTGTCCAGAGACATGGGCTATAGGTGAATTGAATAAACTAAATTGGCCATAGTGTGTGTGTGTGTGAGAGAGAGAGAGAGAGAGAGAATGAGTGTATGGGTGTTTCCCAGTACTGGGTTGCAGCTGGAAGGGCTTCCACTGTGTAAAACATGCTGGATAAGTTGGCGGTTCATTCCGCTGTGGCGACCCCTGATGAATAAAGGGACTAAGTCGAATGAAAACGAATCAATGACTAAATTAATGGTACAATCCCACTTAAACACCTAAAACATGTTTAAATAAGCATTCGCATGTGTTTATACTGGAAACCAGTAGCTTCACTTGACTGTCAGCCACTTGACTTTTCTCTGGGTGCTTTTTAAAATGACTTCTGAATCGAGCACACGTGCAGCCGAGCTCTTCTGAATGCTAAATCGAAAACGCTTGCGTAAAAAAGCCACGCGAGTTTATCAATTGAGTCAATCTAAAGCTGTAGCCTTGGCACCATTTGCGGAGGAGGCTACTGACGTCATCTGTCTCCTGAATGGAAAGCCCTGATGATGCTTAGCCGCCGCTGCTGCTGCTGCCGGTGGAGGCTTTATTTACACAGAACTCTCTTAAACTGTTCCGTGCTACTCAAACACACTCACAGAACGACAAAAAAAAACCTACAAAATCAATATCTTCTTAAAGAAGTTGAAGCCACTTTAAAGCAGGAGAGCGCTAAAATCATGAACGTTTGGTCGCTGCGTGGTTTCCTAGCAACCGGACTGAGAAGTTTTGAGAAGAGCACAAGGCTAACATCGCTAACGCGTCGCTGGACAGATGATTTCGGTGTAAAAAGAGCAAAGGTACAGTGTTGTGTGCAGAATTTGACAGGTTTGTGCTTTGAACTGGACCATAGACAAAGAGAAAATCTCCATAGACGCCCCTGCGACTTGAGTGACAGACCGCGGCGACTCGTTTGCAAGAAGTTTAACTTACCAGCTGTGAGGGGTTATTTCTGCTTACTGACTGTTGAACACAGCAGACGCAGCTGAAGATGGTAGTACTGCTGTGTATCACAATACCATGGTCAACATCGCGGGAGCTCGTGCTTCTGAGGAGCGATTTGAGTTGCAAACTGTCATGGATGCGTACTTTTCTGCTTCAGTATAATCCCGGGCACACGTGATGCGCAAATCACTTTTGTCAGCGACATCTCTCATTTGTCAGAGGGAAATCCGTGCGTGTTTTCTTGCGCCTTAAGCTCGAAGCTTAACATATCTTCATGTTTTTTTCTTTCTTTTATTATTGTTAAAAGAAACCACACATTGATCAACCAGAGTCGTCGCCGGCGCAGCATGCCAACTTTTGCTCCCGTTGCTCTTGTCTCGTAGAGGAGGGAATAGGAAACTGGATGCCTGAATGAATGGGGATCGCGCCTTGTGAAGGTTTCAGCTGTCAACATCCTGCCAGTTTTATGTGCTTGTCCAGACAGTTGAGTGTTTATCGTTATAATTCGAATATCCGTTCGGAGCCAAGAACAAACAGACATCAGAGAACGCGTCATTATAGACCGGCAATGTCGAAGAAACGCAAAACTCCAGACGACGGTGGCGGCGGTGGGGAGCTCGCGGACACTGAGGATTCCCTTCAGCAAGGTATGAGCTAATTCCTCCATGCTTATATTGGCTTCTTGTGGTGTGGTAATTTCAGAAAAAAATGGGTCATCTTTAGCTTGTAATATTTTAAAACCCAGCCATTAGGAAAAATAAAGTTTTTTATATATTTATAGTAAAAGTGTAGTAACTGTGTTTTCTTTTTCTTTGGCAGACTGATTATCATTTGAACTTTACTAATACCGAGTCTAAAGTATGCTTAGTTTGTTAGTTATGCTTAGTATGCTTAGTCCACAGTTAGTTTATTTGACTTGTAGTTAATCTGTTGTAAATTTTCTGTAAGGAAGGAAATTGTAGTGTTGAGATTGACAGTGACATTTTGAGGTCTCAGAATTTTTAAGGCTTAAGCTAAAACATTATATAATGTAATTGACATTCTTAATTCACCTCAGATTTGTTGTGTGTATAAGTCCTTGTTGTATTAGCTCAATAATAGCCTAATAAATACAAGTAATGGGAGTGATAGATAGACATACAAATAGACAGACAGACAGACAGACAGACAGACAGATAGATAGATAGATAGATAGATAGATAGATAGATAGATAGATAGATAGATAGATAGATAGATAGATAGATAGATAGATACACTGGAAAAAAAAGTGTTGCATGCTGAACTGTTGCAAACAATTTATTTGTGTTGAATTTAAACAAACAAATTAAGTTTAATAATGTTCAACTTAATTTGTTTGTTTAAATTCAGCCCAAATAAATTGTTTACAACCACTTAACATAAAAAATTGAGTAAATAGAAAGGGATCATCTTTAAATTTTTTTTTTAGTGATAGATAAGAGAAGCCCGTTCTGAGTGATGGAGTGAGAGAAGACACAAATACTCTGACTTTCGTTAATCCACCCCTTTCTGAATGCAAAATCAAACTTCTCGTCCGTTCATTAAATCAAACATATGTTTAGACAATCAACAAATGGGTGAATTAAAGCTTCTCACTCCATGTCAATGTCAGGTATCATAATTGATGTGCAGCGACGCGTCTTTTAGCCTCAACATTCTCACACTTTTGGAGCGAGCCACTATTCAGAGGGACTATAAAAGAAAGATGGAGGTGTGGAATACAAGAAAGCACATATAAGCCTCGGCTCCCACAGTGTGAATTCAATAAAACGTTGTCAAGCACAAAATGTCTGGCATTGCTTGAATAAATTATAAACACTGGACCCTTTCATACTATCGTGGCATCAGAACACATTGCATTTATAATCCATGAAATAAGCACATGCGCTGAACAAATATGTCCTGTTAGGCCTTTGATAAATGCAGTCCTCTTAGATAGTATTTACATTGTATTTTTTGACATTCCCCAAATTCATTTAGCATCTCAAAAGTGTGTTTGACTCCTGAATGGCGTATATGCACACTGACTTTTCTGCAAAACTGTCTTGCTATTACAAAATCACCATGTTTAAGATCTGATTTCTTTAAAAATCTGTGATCTTCATTGCCTGATTGATATATGCAATATAAAGTTGGTATCAGACAAGATCAGACAAGAAGAACTGCATTAATTCCAATTTTCCACACCAGGGCCCGATCATACACCCCGCGCAATAAGGCGCAATGTCTGTAGAGCACACTTTGTTGCTATTTTCAGACCAGTGTAACAGTAATTTTCATGTTTGAGCCACATTGTTTAAATAGTAAATCCATTTGCACCACTTTGTGGACTCATGGGTGTGCTGGTCTAAAAAGGAGGTGTGTTAAGGCGCATTGTTGTGGTGCATTTTTTGAGGAACTGAAATAGATTGCGCTGTTGACCAACTAAAAGCAGGTCTAAAGACCAGCACAGATCGCGTTAGTTACGCGCCTATGCAGGTCCAAATGCTTACACATTGCTAATACACACAGGGTTTACAGCAATACACAAATATCTTTGCAGATAGAAAAAAAGATTAAAATGTAACAAAAATGATTATTTTCTACATAAATATAAAAAAACACTGCAGGGCTCAACAATAAGGATTGCCTGATGGCCTGGGGCCAGCATGAAAGATGTTCGGAACAGTAGAGAGAATTGTCACTGGCCCATCAGGCCAGTACTGCCTTGTCATCAAATTTTAATTTGCCTGCGACCATTGTGTGCAAATACAGTCTTAAAATCGAGAAACAATTTGTGCTTTTAAGTCTTTGAATGCCACCTTTTCTGTGAAGCCGTAAACACCACATTGCTTTTTGGTTCCTTTTAACTGATTGGTTGTTGTGAGCACGTTATTTTTTTTCACAACCTGGTTAAAACCATTACAGTGAAGAGACAGCAACATCAAATTATGAGGCTTAAAGAAAACGTCTGTTTCTAATGTTGTGGAAAGAGATATTTACATGGGTACAACATAATAAAAAAGATGTGTGATGTTTTGAAAAAAAGTGATGTTTTGCATAGTTTTCCGTCACTTTTAAGTCAGCCTCCTTTTGTTTTGCAGTAAAATACCTGCACATTTTCCATACCTCTGTATTTTACTGCTAAATATTTTAACATTTTTTAAAATATTTAAATTTTACATTTACAGACATTATTTTTGACACATTATTTGAAATATGTGGCTAAGATATAGAGATTTTAAATTTTTTATTTTGGTGGGGCCAGTTTAATTTTTGGCAGGGCAAGTAAAAATCTGAACTGCTGGTCCAGTCGGGCCAGTAGAAAATGTCCTTATCGTTGAACCCTGCACTGCCTCTCTTCCTTCTTCATGCCTCTGTAAAGGGAATGGGAGATGAGACTCTGATTGGTTTAATGCTTGTTATTCTCAAAACACACCCATAAATACGGCCAGACAGAATCTGCAGACATTTTTGCTATTTCTGTGGAGAATTTTGTAAAAAATCTGTGGATTTATGCAGAATTATTTTGGGAGTATCGTAACTTAAAACTTCATATATGAAATAAAAAACAATAGCTTTTTCAAATTGTATTTAAAGTTTACAATGCAAATCTATCTAGATCCACTTATTTGGTAAACAAAGCAAGTCTCTCATATAATATATCTAATTAAAAAATGAAAATATGACTTTAAAAATGTAATGCAAATAAATCATACGAACGCTTTCATATTAGTCAATAATGTTACTGAAATCCATTTAAAAACGGAATAAATATAAATTTACACACATTTACACAAGTAAATTAATAGACTCAATGATGGGCTAAAAATCTGCAGAAAACTGCGGATTTCTGCCTATGCAAAACTCATTAGGAGAATTAGCACAACCTTTGTTAGACCATGCGCCGGGGCGCACACCGTTTTTTCCGGTCTTAAAATAGCGAATGTGAATTCGAGCACACCCCTAATGCTTTTGCACCATGTGCTTTAGACTTTGTGCCTAGATCATTAAAATAGAGCTCCATGTTTTTAAAATATATAACTTTATTTTACCCCAGTTTTTTCAATTGAGTAATTACTGCACTACCCTGCTGCTACTGACAGCGCTAGCGTTTACTCTGTCTTTTATCTCGTTTTAAGCTTGAGCAACTAAATGAATGCTTAAGTCTATTTAACTGATTGTATTAATTACATTACAACATTGACGCTGTAAAATTAACCTTATGAAATTGAAAATAGTCACGTTAACCTTTCATCGGATGTTTATTGTTGGCTGAAAAACACTAGCTGTGCATATGCCTCATTCTTAATCTCAAAATTCATCATAAGCATGTTCAGTTTTAATCCCTACACCAAAATGAGCTTGCAGTTAGCATAGCTCCATTTTTGCTATGTTAAATCCATGTGAAGGTCAGGCTTCTCTCGGGGTGACTGGGGGAGCACTGTCATGTTGTTTGCACACATTATGTGACCCAGCAGCAGCTTTGTTGGCTGCGTTTTGCGAGCAGGAGCCAGAATGCGAGTTTCCCTTATTGGCGAACAAGAATGGGGAAGCGGGCACTTCCTTTGCCTGTGGAGCGCGGCATCTGCGTAACTGTGCAGGATCGTACAGTTGAAGTCAAAATTATTGAAATTTAATTTCTTTTTAACATATGTTCCAAGTGTTGTTTAATGGAGAGATTTTTTTTGTGAACACATTTTAATGACTGATTTATTTTGTCTTTGCCATGATGACATTTTGTAAGATGTTAGTATTTTGCTTAAAGTGCTATTTGAGATTTAACTACTCTGTAAAAAAAATATTTGATCAATTAGTCATGACAGCATATGTTTTAGTTAAAGTTAATCATGTTCTAAATTAATTTTATAATTTACACAAGAAGTTTTAAGTCAGTTTAACAAAATATAAGTTCAATGCACTCAAAAGTTTTTGGATTCAGCTTAAAAATATAAGACAACGAGGATTTTTATTACAGTGTAGGTTAATTAGGTTAACTGGGCAAAATATAATTCTAAAATTAATTGGATAAGATTATTGAATAGCCTGTCAGACAAAAATAATCGTAATACTGATAATAACAATATTCACCTTAATCCAGCCAAATGAAAAGAAATACGACTTTAGCTAGAATAAAAAATATTATAGGAAATACTGTAAAAATTTCATTGCTCTGTTAAAAAATATTTGGGAAATATTTGAAAAAGAAAACAAAATTTTAATAATGATAATAACTCTACATCCATAATGCTGCTCATGATCTTACAAATAAACCATTAACAAAGTCTTTATGTTATAAATACTATAGTAATTTAAAAATACTAAAATATAGGGCTGCTGAAATAAATTGATGATATTTTATTTTTCTGCGATATATATTGCGATATGAGTATAATTTCACATAACTATTTGAGAAGAATTCATAATTTTACATCGATAAGAAGTCTTTAATGTATGAATAATTAAATAACATTTATTATTACATTAAATACAATTATTTGTTAGCTAAATTGTGTTATCTCTTTTGCATAGTAATGCATTACTGTATCGATCAAACAATGCTGAACCTCTTTTAAAAACATCTCACAAATCTCACAAAGTTGTGACCAGTAATATCAGTAGTTTTATTATAATTCTAATCAGAAAATG